TAACCCCGCATGTAAATGTGACCTTCTCCCTGCCTCACAGAGCCGCTGTGTCTGGGGCTGACTGTCACTCACAGAAACACTTCCTTTCATTTGATCAAGTCTTGAAAACTAGCAAGAAATATGAAATTTCTCCTCCTTCTTCTCCATACAAACCATTTTTTTCCTTCTGGCCTTCCTTGAGATAACATTCTGTGAACTGGTTTGTGAGAGAGGAACTGCTGGTGTGGTCTGAAATGTGAAGTGGCATTTATGTAAGAGCTAGAAACCCAGAGTGATCTAATTATGTGCAGATGTAACCCTTTTTTTTTTTTTTTTCTTTTTTGAAATTATGCAAATTATTTTTTGTTTTGTAAGTCTTATAGTAAATAATTTGATTCTTTTATTGGTCTGCAACGTACTCCTAGTAGTGAGTTAATAAAAATCTGAATTAAAAAGCATATGTGCATGTAATTTCCAAACAGTTCTTAATATGAATCATTGACTCATAAAGAATGGTGGCTGTAGTTAGTATGCTGAATATTCTGGTGCTTAATTCATTTGATTTTAGGTTTGCAGTTTATTCATTTGTTATAGCATTTGAAAGCATCTTGGCTTACTCCTCATTTTCCTTAATGGAACTAAGTTGTGGGGCTTTAAGCTGCATTACTCTCATAACAGCATATTTAATAGAATTCTGTTATCCCTGGCTGGTCAAATTGGCATGTCCTTAAAATAAAATGAAATGTAATTCATTATTGTGTTCACTATTGGAATTTTTCCCACCTGTTTCTGGAAGGAGTGTAAATCCAAAGATTAGGAGAGAAACATTAATCGCATTATTTCATTATGGGTTTTTTTTTTATTTCATCAGAGAATTAACACAGTAGGAGATCAAAGTTGCAAATATTGCAGTTACTTAAAATGAATTCATTCAATAATGTTTAAGTAATTCTTGTGGTAAATGGGTCACCCAGAAATACATTTTCCCGTTTTCCCAGGTGTTTGGAAAATCAAAACATAGGAAAAATGAGAACACAAGTTGAGCGAAAAAACAGCCCAGCATCTGTGTTATGATGTTAAAATTGTTGTTTCCTCTATTTTTTGTGAATTTCCACCACCTCCCATAAATGACAAACAGAACCTTTTAAGCATCTCAACATTTTTCTATAGTATATGGAGGAATCTGTGTTGTATTCTGAATTATATTAGGTTCTTGAAAATTTCTGGGTTGCTCACATGAGTAATGCAGTCAGTTAGTACTGGAATTATTTTGAAAATCTAAAAAACATTGAGCAAGGAAAAATTACAAAAGTTGTTGAACAAGCCACAAACAGTCATTGCAGTAATAATGTCTTTGAGACTGATAATTTACTTCTTAAATGCTACTTAGCTTTGAATTTTAACCATATAGTATGGGCTAGTTTTTCACAAAGAAAAAAGTAAAAATACTTCCAGCAATGAACAGTCAGCAAGTTATCTGTAGAAATGAAAGGCCTTAGCACCTTCTGGTTTACATAAATCAAATGTCATTCTGATATCCATGTGACCTGGCTGTACTTGGTGAATTTCTTCCTGAAGTCTGTCTTGGGGCTTATTTTAGAGATATGGTGAAATTTAAATTAGTCCTTAAACACTTATAGAAGACTGTATTGTGAGCATATACATAATGTATAGGGGTACCAAATATTGCTGCAATGCAAATTTTACAAATCACCCATCAAGCTTTTGACCAGTTGATAAGATTATGAAGGAGGAAAGCATCAATTAAAAATAGAGAAGTTACAGAGTATAAGATGCAATCCATAGGAAGCCCAAAACATGTCACATTCCAATACCAAATGTTTCTATGTCATTTGAGGACAGATGATGAAAACTTTCTTTTCATTCTTTCTTTACAGAACAATAGATGGTAGTGTTAAACTTGCAGATGAATTCTCTGTGTATAAATCATGGCATCTTTAGTCTCATCCTTCAGTCTGTTTTAGAGCTGATACAGTGGTATCATATGTCGTCAAGGGATACTTGTTTGATAAGCATTCCCTATGCATATATATTACTTTCACAGGTCTCCCAAAATCTTAATTTTAAAACTGATTTTAATCTTTTATCCTTCCAGCCTTCTTGGTTATCACTAACCACAATAATACTTATGGATATCCCTGTTAAGTCACATAATTATTCCATCCAGACTTTTGCAGTGTATAGGGTAGAGAGGGCCTGCTGTACATACCAAGAGCCTAACTAACTCTTTTCTTATATTCATACATTTAATGTAGGAGGATGAGGTAATAAGGTGCTGCAGTAATATTATTTCTTCTCTGGTTAAGTGATTAATTTTTCTTTTTCTAGATTCATAGAGTGAAATATAAATTAATACACTTTGCTATACTTTTTTAAGCATTTAGTTAATTCCAAAGTGAGAACTGTCCTATATTAGTATGACCTTTTGAGAGATCTCATAGGAGTAATATTGATCAGTGACACAAGTTTTAGAAATAATGCAGAGGAGCAGCCAGAATCTCAGCTGAAGTCTGTATAAATCTCATCTGTCTCTCAGTTGGAGTGATGCTGATGTTGCAATACTTACGCAAAATGGGAAAGAACTTGGCTGCTTTCGTATCTCTAAATTTAGTGTGTGGGTGGTCCAGGACAGTGAAGAGTTTATAACATCTCCATGTAGTAATAAATCTATTTTGTGTGTGAACCTCTGTAAACCTTTCATCATCCATTAAAATTGTGACTGCTGTTGACAATAAGTTGCAGTAGAAAGACAGACTTAAGGAAGACCTAGTACACTTATTTCCTGTAACATGCAAGACACTGTAATTATGGGTCATTTGCCTGGTTTCTTTGGTAATTAAGAGTTTTAATTGTGTCTAGTTCCAGGGCATTAGTTAAGCTTTTCATTATGCATATTGCCTTCTGTAATCATCAGCTCCTCTTGTACAGTAAGCTTAGTGACGTCGTGGAAGTCAATTAGGTCTTTCAAGGCAGAGCAGCAAAGTACATTCTTTTGTATGAGCTGGATCAGAAAAGGTTTCTGAAAGGTCTTGATAATGCTCTTCTGTGCAACATTTAAGCTTATTCTTCAAGAAGCAAAGCTTGTCAGAGTTTCATTTATTGTCCTCAGAGTGCTTAAGGTCATGAACTAAGCCATTGTTAAGAACAAAACCTATAGGCAGAGCCATGCTTCCATTCTAATAGCAATTGCACAAAGCTTTCCAGGATCAGCCAGTTACATATTTGTAGTTAGTAATAGTGATAATGATCAACATTTGAAAGTATCCCATTGTTCAAAATGGAATGCAGTGATTGTATGAAGGAAATGAGCAGAAAAGAGATCGGTGTGATTCCTTTGGCTCACTAAAATTCATTAATTAAGTTTTATTTTATTACATGCAAGGTAGAAAGCATCTTTTACTTTTCTCTTGACAGTCTCCAAGTTGTTTCTGATATCTTGAAAGGCAAGAACCAATATTTTTAAAAGAATGGAAATCAGGAGAGGGTTCTTTCATTTTTCCCCTTCTACAGTCCCTGATAGATGGGTTTATACAGGGCAGACATTTAATACATCTTGATTTTTTTTTTCTTTGAATGTAGTAAAGCTTTTGCAAGTTGCAACTTGGTTTCCTTAGAGCACCAGAACAGCCAGACCAAACACTGTGCATCCTTTATGTTCTGCAGTGAAATAGTTGTGTGTTTGAGAACCTAAAAGCTGCAGTATGATGTTGTATGTTCATAGAATCATAGAATATTCTGAGTTGGAAAGGACTCACAAGGATCATCAAAGTCCAACTCCTGGCCCTGCACAGGACAGCTTCAGGAATTGCACCATGTTCCTGAGATCATTGATTAGTAGATGTGAGGAAAATTGCCATAACCATCCCAACATCTGTGTTCAGTTACTAAAATTACTTGTGGCAGTGATTTTGGCATTAGTAGTAGTAGCAGTGCTAATAATACTGATAATAAATGCAGCATGAATTGGAGAAGTGTTAGAAACCATGCATCAGTGTAGGTCAGGATTTTTGAGGTCATTGGATGCCAAAAGTTGCTTTGGGTTATCCATGACCAAAAATTCAAACTGACTTTGCAGGTCATGGACAGGAAGAGGCAGGGAGAAATGCTTCATTATATAAATTCTGGAATGAGTTCAAGAAACATGATCTTTCATTATATAAAATTTCAGACCATATGATTTTTATATGTATATCTTATTTGTTTATTATTCAATATTCTGACATTAAATTACAAAATCCACATAAATAATGTATGATTGTTTTTAAAAACTTTGCTTCCAAACTGCAATCTGGAATGATTTGTGGCTATTGTACGGCACGAAAGTTTTACCTAACTAAACTCTCTCTTCTCTAAATATATTTATCTTATATATATTGGAAGACATATATATGTATCTTTGTACATATATATATATATATCTGTATAATTGCTTGTTTTCTTTCTCATCGTTGCTTTGGAAGAATTAAGCAAATAGAGTTTGACTTTGACAGCACTCTTCTGATAAGTAGTGTCCGTCTCCACTCATCCAAAGTCCTACTGTTGACCTAGGTAGTTTTGTGTTCCCCATACCTTGTGTATGTAGGAAGTGCTATACCTGTGAGTGAAAACACTGCTTTTGCCATTTTGCAGGTTTTAAAGATGGTCTGGAAAAGTTAAATTGCCTTCTTATAAAGGTATTTAGGCACTTGCTTAATTTTACTTTAAGCTTGTGATTAAACACATCTCTATAAAAGCACTTAGGAACATCTGGATGACCGGTTTCTGGGATTTAAGTAAGTGTATTGATGTTTTTTGAATTGAAATTAATTAAAGGTTAATTACCATGCAGATATACAAACCGAGAGGTTCGCTCTTGTTCTAGTTAGGGGTGTCTAAGCAAAGAATGAAATTTAGTTTTCCTACTAAGTTTCATTCAGGATCATTCTCTCTTTTAAAACAAACTATCAGAAGTTCACAGTAACATTATAATTATTTTTTCCCCTCACCTTCTTGTTTCTTAGTGTCTTGTGTTTGAAGATTCACCACAGGGAGTCAAAGGAGCCCTGGAAGCAGGAATGCAAGTGGTTATGATTCCAGATGAAAAATTAAATCCAGATCTTAAAAAGGATGCAACACTGCTGCTGAAGTCCATGGAAGATTTCCAACCAGAACTGTTTGGTTTACCAGCATATGATTGATGACTTATGCCTATGAACATGTTCTTGACTGGAGATAAATTAAAAATTAAATGAAATTTTATTTTGGTTTTATTACCATCTTTTACTCTCTTTCTCAAAACTAGAGCAAAAAAATCCTGTTAACACTCAGTCTTTTACGCATTACCTTTCATGAATTGTCTGGAATGTTTATGATTTGTCCTTTTGATAAATGCTAAATTAAAGCAGCATCTTTCTGTTAAGTGAATCCAGCCTTGTTCTATTCACATCATAATGTTTTCTGGGAATATTATGAAATTATTTAGACAATTTATTGTAACTGCATTGGAAGCTTCTTGTTCTGTTTCCCCTTGAATTACTTACTGTTTACATCATGATCAGAAATCTGTTCTGGTTTGCCTTTTATCCCATTAAAATATTTTTGACACCATTATTGCTGTCAATATGTTCATCTTTTTCCTCATCTCATTGATGCCTTGGCCTGGCTACCTAGAACAGAGGGTATACAAAGTCAAAAGAATAAAGTGGATATTAAAGGCCTTCAATATATATACCTTGGACAGTCAAAAGCCTTCCAGAAGCTACGCCCAAGATGGATGATGGTCACGAGTTTTTCATAAGTTTGGTCTGTTTGCATATCAGAGGTTAACTGTCCAATTACAGCCTCAGGTAATGAAGTCATATTCACCCAGCTCACTCTCCCCCCTCCAATTCACTTTTGTTTATACTGTTTAGGGCCTGTGGCTGTAAGGTGTCCTTGGGTTTCAGGCCCCAAGAAATTGTTTTGTCTGACCACACTGTGAAGACTGTAGTTAACACTTTATATGAAGCTTAGAGTTAAGCACTAATGCAGCACAGGATCTGAAAAATATAAAGGCTAAAATCTTAAGGCATCACCATACTTGCCCACCTATTCCAATTGTATTGTGTTGTCCTTTCTTTTCCCCCCACTTTGCAACAAGGATACTGTTGTACTTTCTGTGTTTTTTTGTTTTCTTAGAGATTGAATGAGATTACTTCCAGACATCCCTTAAAACCTCCATTAGTCTGTAATTCTGTCGTTATCTTTTCTGATATTTTGATCACCTGCTAGGAGCTATACAAGGTTATATGATCTTGGAATTTAGCCAAAATGCTTTGCATATTGTTTTTTTCATTTCCTTATATCCTTCTTATAGTCCATGTGTCATGTAGCCTTCTCTTTCATTCTTGTGAAATAAGCGTGTTCTGTCTCTGTGCTTCAGTTTTGATAAAGTTATGGCCCTAACTTTTATCCAAATAGCTTTCTGTAGGCTGTACTTAATTTCCATTCTTACCCTGTCCTTGAGCCCTTGTTTTTCACCAATTTTTCTACAGAGATTTTTTTAAACTATGCAATTTTAAAGTGCAGAAATTGCAGATTTGGTTTAGATAAATACTTAAAATGTATTTTTCTGGCTACCATACTTTCCATTAAATATTTATGTTGTCAGCTGTCCTTCTTAGTTCTGTCTCTTTCTGGTATCTTGTCAGTACAAGAGTAAGGGCCTCTTATAAAATACTAGATACATAGACAGGTTTTGGTGGAGTCCACAATTACATGTATGACATGATGGTAGCAATGTCTTTTACCTTGTCTAAAAAGTAAAATATATATAATAAAGCTATAGTATTTATATAGCTTTATGACAGTTTTATAAAATTAATTATTGTATTCAGCACTTAAATCCCTACATTTGTAATAAGTATCCATGAATATCCTGAAATATATCAAATTGGATAATTTCCTTGTATTACGAGAAGGCTGCTCTGAATTTAGGGTTTTTAAATATGTTTATATATGATCTTCCTCACAAAAATATTTTCTAGGCATTCCTGGTGTTTAACTGTTTCAGATTTAAGGGTATTTTGTCAGAAACATAAATTAATGAAATATAGACCCTTCAGTATTCATGGTGAATTTTCTTAGATTTTCTTCCTTCTGTATTTATAAAAATGCTCAAATAATTTACATCTTTTGTGTAGACTTTTATTATTTTATTTTATAGTGTTCCATTTATACTTCAAGAAATTAAAGACATTTTATTCTATACAGTCAGTTGAAAATGACCAAGATTATACCAGAATCTTTTTATACATGTAGTATAATGCTTTGGAGTTAAATGCTTTCCATTCTAAGGATCTGGAGGCATTTTTTCAAAGTAGAGTAAATATTAATTCAGTGTAACTATTCTCCATATTATGTTGTTTCTTTTAGTCATGGATATTGCAGTCATAACAATTTGTATAGTGACAACGACCTGTCCCATTCAACCGGAACTCCATTTCTGGTCTTCCCAGACGAGATAACAGACCCATTGCCGTATAATTCCTCCTTGGACTTATGTTACATAGCACGAAATTTTACTGTAGAGCAATAATTCTGAGCTTTCAAATGTAAAACAGGTGCCTGTTGGGATCCCCTTTGTTCATAATTACTGAATTTCAACAAGGAAGTTACTATGTAGAAGAAGCTTTAATAAGCTGTAATTAGTAACTTTTTCAAAGTTTTGCATATATTTAATTTTACTAGTGAGTTTTGCAAAAAATGAGAAGTGAGACATCTCATTTCTACTTTACTTTGAAGGAATTGTCATCGAAGTAATGAATTTTGTTTTTAAAAATGTAGATGCAATGAATATATCACTGACAAAATCAGAATTACTTCATTGTGACCACCATGGTAAGATCTGCACAGTTCTAATTTAATAGCCTTATCTTTATGAAAATTAATGATCAGAAAAATACTTCTCCTTAACTCATCAGCAAATCCTATCACATACAATTATTTTTCCATTTATTTAGTATCCCACCTGACAGTTGTCAGTGAAATTATGGCTCCAAACTGAAGTCTCTGAACCTGAGTCATATGCCGTAACCATCCCATCATTCTGGTAAAATTTCTTCCATGTCCTTTTCAGCTTGTTCACCAACTTCCTGGTCCTGTCCATTTAACCATTTAACTGTTACTAAAGGAATTTTGACTGTTGTTTTTAACTTTTTTCTTGACTGAATGAGAAATCTAAACAGCACACGAAATTAAATCCTTCCTCTACAGTAGGCCTAAAAATCCTGTCATCTCCATTATATGTGAGGGAGATATTCTTGTCTGCAGTAGATGACTGTAGCCTGCCTGATTAAGCATGTACCAAGTATCAACATATGTTTGTATATATTTCTTTACCCAGTTTTTGGTTGGATTTGTGGCTCTGTAGCTCGATCATCTCAACAACATCTGTTCAGAAAAGAAAAAAAGAAAAAAAGGATTAAAAACTTGGATCCCCTCCCTTCCTTCCATCTGCTGCTTTCCAGATGAAGTCCTGTTCTGACTGAACTGAAAAAAATCCATACCAGATCCTGGCTACAGATCATGAGAACATGTGAGCAATCAGGACATTTGAATGCTCCATCTGTGTTTTTATGATGAGGACTGTTAAAAACTAATCCAAAAAGTCTATCCTCTAACTCAGCAAGCAGACTTCAATCCCAGTAAATAGTTAACATATGCTTAATTCATTTTTATTAAGCAAAGAATAAGCACCAGCTTAATTTTAAGGATACATTTAATTTTATTTGGCTTAATATAGAACATGTGCTTCAGGCATATCCTGAGAAGGGTTCCAGCCTCCAGAAAATAAATGCAAAAGATTAATGACCAAGTTTTTACCATTGAAAAATAGGATCAGCATAGCAAGATTGAGCTAAATTCAGTCATGAAAATAAATTAAGAAAAAAAAAAGAAAGACAAGTTTGTGATCTACAAACTATTGTACTGGAACTTAAACTCCTTTCTACCTCACAAGTGAATTAGGATTTACATTTTACTGGAACTTCAATGTGATTAATTTTGGTAGAATTTCCAGATTGCAAAGATCTACGTAAATAGGGTTTCATTGAATATATTCAAATAAAAATTCATTGCCTTGGAACAGGATTAATTTTAAAATGCAATCTGACTTCTGTGAAGCTTGGCATTTGCCTTCTACAAATAAAGATCAGAAAAAGCTCAGATATTCACTCCTCATTTGGATTAGATGTGTTTCTAAAGAATGCTACACTGAAACCGAAGAAGCCTCTGCCCAGAATCACTCATGTTGCATATACATATGTTGCATATATACCAAAAAATGTCTTTAGTAGAATCCAAATTAGGAAAAAAAATCATATTTAGAAAAAATGCAATTATTTTCTACTACTTTAAAACTCATATGTACCTTTAACAAATAGAGAATGAAGCTTGAAATTTGCTGCTTTCTTGCTACCTTTAGATACTGGTTATCCATATCAAAATCTGCTTTATTTTTTTAAATCTATATAAATTTAGATACTAAAAACACTAGCTAGGCAGTAAATTCCACAGTTCTATGGGCCATATAATTTTTTTTTTACTAATTATTTGATATTAGAATACTGTTAAACAATAAAAATATCGCAACCCCTTTTTCTCCAATTAATTTTTTTCCATGCATTTGTTCTTAATTTAATCAGTTTGTATCTTCTCTGAATTTACTGTATTTTGGCACTGAGAAGATAGGACTGCTTTTTTTGTCAAATTAATGGACATAAATGGAAATAGTGGAATGGATGAAAAAGAATCCTCTCAGAACACTTCTCTGTCCAAGGAAAACATGACTCTGATCAACACTATGTTAAACCTTCCCTTTGGCCAACAAGTCTAAGTTGTGGGTCTAATTACCTTATTACAATGAAGGGCTGAAGAAGGACAAGGACTCAAATTAAACATCTTCCAGAATTTCCAAGAGCCAAGGAAGCCAACTCTGGCAGGAGGGCTCACTGCATTGCCAGTGGCTCTGTTTGCACCAGATAGCTCAGTGTAAAAATATATATATATATATATTTATATACTAGAGGATAGGAGGCGGCATAAGAAAGACTGTTGGTCTCTCCTGCTCTTCAGCCCTTTGATTCATGGGTTCTAAGCCATCATATTCAAAATGTTAGGTGCTGGCTCACCCTGGTGATTAAAACAAGCTTCAGTAGAGAGAGAACATTCCAGCTCTCGCTTCTCTCTTAGTGATTCTTTCCCCAGAATATCTGCAATATGGAACTGGAACATGAAATAAAATATTAACAGGTTCATTGTTAATATCCAAAGTTCCTGTGATTCTAAAAGTAGCAGAGAGAGCATTATTTAGTGGAGAAGAACAGAATGGTAGAAGAAGGGAGCTGGAGACCAGGACTTGACCCATGGTATAAACCATCTAGGACCTAGCACTCCAGTGAAATGAAAGAAGAGAAACAGTAAAGTCTTCCACTTGTCCTTACCAAAACTGTAAAAGCAGCAATTATAATGGGAAAATTTTTCTGCATTAACAGGAGCAAAACTCAAAAACATCTGCAAAGACACTCTGTTAGGAAATATATGTTTCTACAAATAAGAAGCCCCTATAGCAA